TTTCCCACCCACCCCACCCTCCCCAAATCAAACTATAAAAGCATGCAGGTCCATTTATCAGTTCATTCTCCATTAGTTAGGAGTCAATGCAGAATGGTTTAAGGTCATAAAAGAACCTTTCTATGTGAGGGATTTTAATCAGTGTAGATCAGACAGATCATCTGAATCAGTTACACTCCTTTATTCGTGATTTGAAAAGAAATCATTTGGGGTAATATCTGTTTTCTGCAGATGTTAGTAGGCATACAGAAAGATTTCCTAAATTAAATGCATTTTCAAAACAGAACATCACACCACTTGCATATAACTCTCAAAAGAAGCATCTGCCAATTATATTGCAGTTCTTTTGAAAACAGAATTGTGTAAACATTTCCCTCCATTTAATCCACAAATCATTTCTGTGACCTTAACAGTGGGGCAAGCTGAAAACTTAACATTCACTGAGCCATGGTAACTGCTAACTCTCATAGCACTTAGAGATACTGTGGCATATGCTGCATTATCTGGCTATACTGAAAACACATGTGACATCAATAACTGTGATGCAGTAAAGAAATGAAGGATTTTAAGAGTGCATAGTTTTGACCTGGCTTTGCACCCATTGGCCATATCCAGACAAGCGTGGATGTGCAGTATGTGGTGCCACAGACCTGTCTGTGGTACTACACACTGCACATTTAGGCATTCCTTGCACTGCTACTTTGCAGTGGGGGTGGGGGATTTGACCCCAGCAGATCCCAGGCTAAAAATCCTGCACAGAAAAAGCAGGGTAATGCATGTGGCGGCCAGGCCAGCTGTAGGAGTGCCATGGCTGCAGCTTCCCTAACCCCCAGGATCCCAGGGAAGGCTGGAGCCAGCACAGTTGCTGGCCTCCCCTGCCCCACCCAGGATAACCTGCTCTACGCCACAGTGCACATGGCACAAGCATGCCCCAGGGACAGGCAGTGGCACAAAGTAACCAAACGTCCACCCTCATCTGGATGTGGCCATTGAAATCAAATATTGACTTCAATAGCAGCAGAGTTAGGGCAACACGAGTGCTTTTGAAAATCCCACCCCACTATTTAAATAAGTCATGTGTACATCTCTTTGTGCTCTGAATAGTATGTAACCAGGAAGTAGCAAGTATTGAATTTTTAAATAGCACCCACTGTAACTGGTATCTTTACATCTACAGCCTGATTGAATAGAAATGTATATGCAGAGTAAATTGCTTTTTATAAGAAGAAGCTGAATAAATCTACAGTAATTCATTTTTTTTAATCAGAAAGTTGAAATACAAAGTCAGGATTTTTAGCAGACGTAAAAAAACTGTAAAAGTGTTTGTGGAACTCCGGCACTCCTACAGAGGGAGGGCAAAACACTAGAGATGGAAATATGGCAGGTGGACCTGGAGGAACTTTTTTGCTTGTTATTAAGGGAAATAATTTATTTTGTTTCCAGTTTAGTAACTGTCAAGATCTTTTTTCTCTGCGCTGTGATATAAGGGGGATGGAGCTATTCACTGAGAAATAAGTCCATGTCACTTTGAAAGCCTGTAAAGCATTACTGAAGAAATCAAGAGCCTAGTGTAAAAAGCTCTAATAATGTGGTAAACCTTGAAGGCTGCAGAGGAATGCAGCAGCACAAGACCCTGGTCCTATGAAGCACTGAGTTCCTCTGAGAGTTAACCAGAGTGGAAGGTACTCAGCACCTAACAGGAACAGTTCCCAAATGAATACCCCTGATTGTTTAAAAAACTGATCTAGACCAAAGTACTGAATCTGTAGTAGTATTTGTATAATTACATAGTTGCAGTGATTTAAAACTGTTGGTTGCCACCAATGATACAGGGTGAAGGGTGGAGGGATGGATTCTACAAATTCCACCACAACGACCACACTTTTGCGAAGGTCACGTCCTTCTACAACTCTCAAAAGGCTGGCTTATAAATACAGGGGGATATTGATAAACCTAGTGCATTTCTGAGTTCACTTTATCCTGAAATATGTACAGATTGTTTGTCGCTGCTATAGCAATTATGTTCTCAGTTGGGTGCCATGCTGTATGCAAGATCTTCTTCGTAAAGTCCAAACTGTCGACACTGATGTCATCTTTCCTTCGTTTGCCTCCAACACAGACTCGGCGGGGTTTCAGAATAGCTCGGGGCTTACTGCTCTCCCGGGATGCCTCCAAAGTAACGTCACGTTTGGTGTTTCGGTCAAACATTCGAAAGAAGTTGTTATATGCACCTGTCATTATGACACTGCAGAGAGAACACAGAGGCAAGATTAAATAGAAGGATGTACTAACTCTACTAACAGGAATGAATCAATACAGCAGCACTTCACTGGTGCCTTTATATATTCTTAGGGGCAACTGAGATCATACAAGCTGGCCTCATCTACACGAGACAGTGGCTGTGCAGTAGCTCATTACTACTGCGCAGTAGCATCACATGGCATGAAGCATGACGCAATGCTACTGTGCAGTAGTAACGAGCTACTGCACAGTCAGCATCCCCAAAACAGCCATTTGTTGACACTACTGTGCAGTAACTCCAGTTACAGCGCAGTCATTTAGTACTAAATGACTGCGCTGTAACAACTATACAGTCAGTGTCTTCTGTAGATGCGGCCCCTATGTCATTTTTACCCTGTAGCCCCTGTGGTGAGGGAAATGCTTTTCCTTGCCATGTGATGGAACGCTGTGGGGTCCAGAAGTCTGTGCTATCTTATATATACGGTCTTACTAGTTCACATGACCTATCATTGTCTTATAGCATTTAATAGATTTTATGGCAACTTCTGTATTTCCAACTCCAAGAATTAAAAAAATTGGGATATATGATTCCCCAAAACAAGGGACTGATTTATATCATAAGATTTTAAAAGCATTATATCTTACTCTATTTTCAAACTTTTTTCTGCAACTACAAAGACTAGAATATTCTTCTTTTTATTATGGAAGCCAGTTGCCCACATGACTCCAGGACTGGGGCATTAAACAAAAATGCCAAAAGCCACAAAACTGCAGTAGTAGAATAGCCACCTGGACACCACTTAACTTGCACATCTTTTGTACTGAATGTTGCCAAGGAGGTTATGAAGATCTGTCAAGTGTATTGTGCAAGTGAATGTCATTTTTTCTTTTCCTGTTGAATTCAGTTCCTAGCCAGATGCCATGTTAACATGTCTGGGGAAATGGGTGCTATTAGAACATTTACCTTCCAACGCTCCCATAAAGATACATTTATTGATAAATTTGATGTGACAGTGTTTGATCATTTACCCTCAGTCCTCCACTCCTGCAACTCAGTCTGAGTACGGAAGATTTGTGTAGGAATATCTGCAGGGTTTGCAGACACAGGCTCAGGCTTCTGAGGACAGAACATTTACTCTTCTTCCTGCCTGCAGGCAGGTCTCTAATCCAGCCCGTGGTTTAAATTAATAAATTGCATGCTCCTATCTCTTCCCTCATGAGGATGAAATCCTGCCTCTATAAAATCTGTGGGTGTTTTATCATTAGTCTGGAGAAGACAAGACCGAGGGGGTATTTAATAGCTGCCTTCAACTACCTGAAGGGTGGTTCCAAACTGTGCTCAGTGGCTGCAGATGACAGAACAAGGAGCAATGGTCTCAAGTTGCAGCAAGGGGAGTTTAGGTTAGAGAGTAGGGAAAACTCTCTCAGTAGGAGGGTAGAAAAGCACTGGAACAGATTACCCAGAGAGGCTGTGGACTCTCCATTCTTGGAAGTTTTTTATGACTCAGCTCGACAGAGGTTTGGCTGGGATGATCTAGTTGGGGATGGTGCTGCTTTGAGCTGGGAGTTGGACAAGATGACCTCCTGAGGCCCCTTCCAACCCTAATTTTCCACGATTCTATGATTTCATTCAATGGAATCAGGATTTTACTTATGATCTAAAGCCACTTGAATGTCCTTCAGTGTTTATCACCACTTAGGCATACCACTTTCTGTAGCCAACAGCACACAAAGGAGTCCTCTCCTTTGTCTGCCCAGCCCAAAAGAGCAGGTTGTCTGGGGACAGCCCCTGGCACACATCCAGAATGAGTTTCAAACTCATATCTCTGGATCCACTCTTTAATAGCTTGGCCACTAGATTCCTGATATTCTGGATCCTTAAACAATGCCCGTTGTCAAAACAGCGATTTCTAATCAGTGCACAGAGCTTATGGGGGCCCTCCTGCAAAGCAGATCCACCCTTTCACTTTCCTCACCGCATCACAGCAGTGGGCTTCGGTTGTGTGGCGAACATGCAGTTTACCCTCTGCACTAGAAAGGAATTTCACCTGAAGCCTTTATGGCCTTTAAAAGAGGGCCTGGGCTGTTTGGATACAGTTTCATGCACAACGCTGGCACTCAATAACTGATGTATTCCAACAGAATATATTTCATAGGCCCACATCTAATAAATTATTCTCATCCCTGGAAAAAAGTTATTAAAAGTATTTTTTCTGTACCTTTTTGTTACTCTGCACAGTTTATGTTACATGAGAGACAACACAGTTTAGAGTCATGCGTTCTGTTTGCAGCTCTTCCTCAGACTTGCTGAGTGACCTTTGGCATGTCCTTTGCCCAACGAGATTTTAGGCTCTTCACTTCATGAATTTTCTTACTCTTCACTCTCCATCTAGCACAACGCAGCCTGGAACCCAGTTTGGGCCACTAGTGACTAAACAGTATATTAATCATAACCTAAAAAAATCTGAATAACAACTGTGCAGTTAAGTGCCTCTGAATTGTGTCTGCTGAGTCATTCTGCACAGTTGGCTGAGGTTTCATTTCAGAAACAATATAGAGTCACTGAAGAAACTCTATTCTGCCCAGTGAATTGGGCAAGCTTCTATGCTGTGAATCATTAGAAAAACTGTCAGCTCTATCCTAAGTCCTGTTACTGATGGTGGAAAAGAATTTGACAAAATAGCATTTTTCTTAGACCAGATATCCTGAAATGCTGAAGGTAGCAGCAATGAATCAGATACTGGTAGTGCAGAGACTGTGCAGGACACCCTAGTCAATAAAAGCTTGTACCTATGCTGGAATGAATTGTCAGGCACAGGGACCATGCCTGCTGTCACATCCCTTTAGAGGACCTCCCATACTTATCCAGTTCTGTTGACTAGGTCAGAGCCACCGCTTTCCCCTTTCTTTCCAAAGGGACCCTTGCAGGGAAGGCTATACTCGGAGGAGGGCAGAAATGGTTGTGACCAGACACTGTACAGGGGCAGGCTTCTGTCTCCCTCCCCATTAACTGGCCAGTCACAAACCTGCCTTTCTGCTGTGAGGTACCAGTCCCAAACAGTAAAAGAAAAGAAGCCAGAGTAACAGCTTGATTAAATGCATCCCAGTAACAGCATAAAGCCTATTGATCAAGATTAGTGCCTGTTTCAGAAATTGAATCAACAACAGTAAATCTAACATTTCACTCCTTCCAAATCACCGTGTCTTGTCATTAGGACTCCTGCTGTAATGGTTATTCACAACATGAAAAAGTAGAGGGTATTTCATATCTCGGTGCTAACATACACAATTTGTGATTCTAACTGCCTAGCCGAGTGCTGTTTTTTCCCCTGGGCAAAATTTTGAAACAGGTTCGTAATGAAGGGGCATTGTGTGTCACGGGCTGCAGAGCTGTACATGGCTGGAACACATTTCCCTGGGGAATAAAAACCCTTCCTCCAGATGAATCCAGAAATAGCAGGTTTTTGCACAATGTGCCAATTGAACAGAACTCAGTGGTAGTCAAAATTGTCCCCTTCTCCATCATATTTAGTTTGCAGTAGAGCTGCCTCTGCAATCCATGTGACTCCTCATTGCTTGAACTACCCTATATTTTAAAAGTCTGTTTTCTTTGGCAGGCTCCCTTGGCTGTACAGTGGCATTTTTTACAATAGTGGCCCTATTGCGTTGTATGTAGATAACTACTTTTCATGCTGGCCCTATTTTCTGCAGTTTAATGGCATTGTAAAAATAGCATTATGTAAATGAAAAGTGCCCAGGCTTCCTCACGGTCATAAACACAGATGAGTGATAACCTTACCTGATGTTTAAAATAACAATAAGAGAGAGAACCTAGTGTAGGATGGCTATTATTCCTGTTCAGAAAAACACTGCATAACATATAACAACACTGTATAAGTAACAGGGAGGTTATATATGTATCCAATACTCCACATATACCTATACATGTTTTAGAGTATAAAATGTAGCTACCTTGGAAAAACATATCCTTCCCTTAAACCTTTTTATGCAGGTTTAATTTGGACAGCAATGTTAGTATACTGGTAAAATGCTTGCATATAGTATCCTGCCATTTAATTTTTCAAGCATGTGTATTTTGAAGAAAAATTGCTGTTCATTATTTTTTTTTACATACTGCATTACCAATGACACTGAAGTATCGTGCATCTTCTTCATGGTACAATTGTTGTAAATTAAGCTGGGCATTTCAGGGTCCTTATTAGAAATGCAGTGCAGGGCTGTCTTGAAATTAGAGATGGAAAGACCCATTTAGTCTGTCCTGTTTATCCTCTGTCCCTGGTCTGACCAGAACAATTATGGTACTAATACTGTATGCGCTCCCTTTTCCCTCCCCAGGGCTAGAATTGGCCAGAAAGTTTCTCCATACCTCGATCACTACCAGCCAAATTCTTTGGCTTTAGCTTCTCTCTGCCACAAGGGAAACAGAATAAAATATAGGAACTCTGGTGAATTGAATTGAATGAACTACTGTTATGCTTGTTTTACTCCCATCTCCTTCTTCTTTTGCCTCCACTCTATTGTCTATATCTATTTTTATTTCCCACTTTTACTCTTTGCCCGTATTTCCAATTGATTTTTCTTCCTTGTTTTCTTCCTCCTTTTTCTGCTTTTTTGTTTTTAGTCACTCTTCACAGCCCTCCCTCTCTTTTTCCTGATTTTCTCTGTTGTTCCCCTTCTCTCCCATCATCTGGTATCCAAGTCATCTCCCTTGCTTTACCCTCTGCCCTACCCATCTTTCCCTTCTTGGATCTTCGCTCCCTCTTTTGCTTTTCATCCATCCTATCCCTCATTTCCCATTTCAATGTCTAATCACACATCTCTCCCTTCCTGTCCATGCCAGGAAGCCCTCACCTGGCATCATAGCACCTCTCTAGCATCTTCCTATCAAGGGCTTCCTTGTCTTCTTCCCCCTGCTCTCAAATGTCTCTAATCTCCTTTCTCTTTCCCCTTTGGGCTGAATCTAATTGCTTCTGAATAAATCAA